TAGATTTCTTCATCAGCGCACGAATCATATACCAATAGTAAAAAAAAATATAAAAAACTATATAAATGTGTATAGAAGTTAGGCAACGGTCTAATGTATTAGCTCGGGGGCATTTTGGGTGCAATATGGGGGTAACAAAAGAAGCAGTAATATACGCAAAAAGTGTGAAAATCTCTGATTCAGCAAAGTTTGTATTTTCGTTTTTTTTTTTGTTTCAAATTAAAAATTCACTAATTATTTCATGAATAAACTTGAACTGTATGATAAGTGATCTTTTTATTGTGAATGAATTGAAATTGGCCGATTAGTATGTGTGTAACGAACCGTACACAAAAGAATGCATACAATATAATATATATCATACAATTCAATACATACAAACAATTAATTCATTCATTCAAACATTATAATTCATGCATCAGCATAATGACCGATTTGACAAACAATTCATTCTTATTAAAACAGTTGCAATTACAAAGTAACCCAAACCTGTTGTGTTTTTATATTATTATTAATCCACAGCTCATTGGATAATAGGTAAATTAAATATATTATTCATTTGGTCCTTCGAATCAGTCGTGAATTGAGTTGAAATGGCTGAAGTGCAAAGTTTATTACAAAAGCAGAAACGAAGCCTCAAGCAATTCGCGCTTATTTTGGAAAATTACAATAAAGATCCAAAAGTGCGCAAAGCGGTTCCGGAATATTTTCAGAAAAAGTTGGATATTTTGGAAAAATGGTGGATAGACTTCGATAAAGTTAACACCGAAATAGAAAAAGCGGATACTGCCGAGTGTGAAAACCAGCCTTATTTTGTATCGAAATCATATGAGAACGCAAAATCGGAATACATTAGGCATCGTTCCGAGTTGCAGACCCAGTTAAGCAAGTTTAAACAATTGGTGTCGGTTGAAAGCAATGACGGTGAAGACGGTGAAGACGGTGTATGGGACCTAAGTATCATTAGATTACAACAAGAGCAAATTGAAGGCGAAAACAATGATCTTATTGAAGTGATCGACGATGAACCGGCGGAAGTTAGTGCGTTAAAGTTTCAGTATAATGAATTAAAATCGTCATTACAGTCAGCTGAAAAAGTGAATAGTGATGAATCGGCTGGAATTGCAAGTGCACAAACTGAAAATTTAAAGCAAATTTGGGCCGAGTTTCGCGTTGCATTTAGAGCATTAGCAGTGTCGAGTAACAAAGTGCATTTACAAGACATTGACTTTTTACAAGTGCAAGAACAATACGTACAAGTGTGTGGCAAGTTGAACGACATTGCAAACGACGCAAAAAAGAAAGCGAATGTTGAATTGCCGAAAATTAAATTGCCCGAATTTGATGGGAAGTCGAACTGGATTGCATTTATTTCATTGTTTGACAAAATTGTGCACGAAAATAAATCGCTTGATAATGGAATTAAAATTCAATATTTAAAATCCAATGTGAAAGGTAGTGCAGAACAGCTCATCGGTCACATTAAACCGTATGCATCAAATTACATGACGTGTTATGAGTTGCTACGAAAGCGATTTGATAATAAACGTATGAATTTAGCCGCGTTGTTAGACAAGATGATTAACTTTCCGAAAATTGAATTTGAATCAGGTGAAAAATTGAGAGCATTGCATGACACCATTTGGGAATGCATGCTGCAAATTAATAACATGAAAGTGGAGACAGCAAGTTGGGATCCACTGATCAATCATATAATGCTACGCAAGTTGGACGATAAAACAGTGAAACATTATGAGTGTCAGCTTACAAATGTGCGTGAAACGCAAAAACTGTCCGATTTTTTGTCGTATATAGAAATGCGGTTCTTAGCATTGGAATCGGCAGAAGGTAAATTTCCGACAAAAAAGAAATCAATCGCAGTGAAAAAAAGCGTCGAAAAAAAGTGTCATTATTGCAATGATGAACATTATTTGGGAAAGTGCGCCGCGTTCCAAAAATTAGAAGTGCAACCGCGAATTGATTTTGTAAAAGAAAAACATTTGTGTACAAATTGCTTTGGTGAGCATAAAGTATCGGAATGCAAAAGCAAATATACATGTTCGAAATGCCAAAAAAAGCACAATACATTGTTACATTTGGACGATTTCAAGCCGAGATATACAAAACAAAAAATGTATAGTGAACCAAAAGCAGCACTAGCGTCAACAGCATTGACAAGTATGATTACGGTGAACGATGAAGATGCGGGAACAGTGTCAAGTGTGCAGTCGTTAATATCGACGGAAAGATTTGCGAATTTACTCGGTACAGCAATGGTACAAGTTCAATCGGGTTTCGGTGAATGGTTATTTATGAAAGCTGTAGTTGATAATGGGTCACAAAGCGCGATGATTCGAGAAGAAGCGGCTCAAATACTTAAGCTGGTGTTTGAACGTGTATATGCACCAATCGATGGGTTTGATGAAACGAAAAAAATCGCCAGTAAACAAGTGAAGTTAAGAATTAAACCGCGATTTGATTCTGCATATGAGCTAGAAACGGAGGCGCTAGTGTTTAATAAGGTGACTAATTTGAAGGTGTTTAAAGGAGATTTACGCGAATACGAACATTTGCAGAATTTACAATACGCCGATCCTACAGTTAATAGTGACAGGCCAATTGATTTGTTGTTGGGAGTCGCTGAATATGGGGACTTTTTGAAGTGTGGTTTAATCAAAGGTCCAAAAGGAACCCCAATAGCTCAAAACACAGAATTTGGGTGGGTTATCATGGGAGCCCAAAACCTGAAAAAAACACCAGCAACGCTAACAACATTGATATCGAATGTGAACATTGATGAAAAATTGTCCGATTTTTTCGCGTCTGAAGATTTGGATGACGAGGAAGACGTGGAGGAATTGAGCGCAGAAGAAACATATTGTGAGGAGTTTTTCGTGAAAACTACAGAAAGAGATGAAACGGGATATATTGTTCGAATTCCATTTAAGAACAGGGGTGAACCAGACCTTGGCAATTCGAGAAAGGCCGCTCTTGCGATGTTGTTCCAAATGGAAAAACGTTTCAAAAATAACCCAAATTTGAAAAAACAATATTGTGAAGCAATAGATGATGCCATAAGGCAAGGACATTTAAAAAGAGTGACGACTGTTCCGGTCGATGCACATTATTTGCCGCATCATGCGGTTTTCAAAGACAGTTCAACCACAAAATTACGAACTGTTTTTTAATGCGTCACAAAAGACCAGCAATGGCAAATCTTTTAATGAGCAAGTGGCTGTAGGTAAAATTTCCCAGCCAAAGATTTTTAACCTGCTGATGCGCTGGAGAAAGTACAAAATTGCGGTAGTTGCGGACATAGAAAAAATGTACAAGCAAATTCGTATCGCCGATGATCAGCAGAAGTATCAAATGATTTTGTGGAGAAACAACCCGAGTGAAACAATCGGGGAGTATGCACTCACGACGGTAACCTTTGGCGTGACTCAGTCCCCATTCGTGGCGATTCGTGTGTTAAAACAATTGGCACACGAAATAGCGGAAAAATATCCATTAGCTGCAAAAGCGATTTTGGAAAGTTTCTACATGGACGATTTTTCTGGTGGAGCGGATACTGTCGAGGAAGCAAGTAAAGTGTGTAGACAATTAAAAGCGGGCCTAAAAAGTGGCGGATTCAATATAAGGAAGTTTGGTAGTAATTCAAATGAATTGATGAGTCGGATTCCAGTAGAAGACAGAGAAATCGCCAATGAAAACATCATCAAAGCTTTGGGCTTGGTATGGAGACCGGAAACTGACATGTTCACATATAAGTTAAATATGCAACTTAGTTCGTTAGCGACAACAAGACGTAAACTTTTTTCGGAAGTCGCAACGTTATTTGATCCACTCGGATTGATTGCGCCCATAATGACAAAAGCAAAAATTTTAATGCGTGAAGTATGGTCGTTGCGTAAAGACGGTAAACGCTTCAGCTGGGATGACCAGTTGCCAAAAGAAATGTCGTTAAGTTGGGCAAGAATAAAAAGTGAACTCCCGTTAATAACGAAATTGAATATTCCGCGTTGGATTGAAACGACGAAAAACACAAAAACCGAACTCCACGGGTTTTGTGACGCGTGCAATGCAGCGTATGCGGCTGAAATCTACATAAAAAATTGGAGTGAAAGCAATGAAATAAGTGTAAATCTATTGGTAGCAAAAACAAAAGTGGCACCAATTGGTAAAAAAACGTTGACAATCCCGAGATTGGAGTTATGTGGTGCAGTATTGTTGGCCAGATTAGCACGAAGTGTCATTGACACTATGAAAATTGATTTTGCGGATGTAGTTTTGTGGACAGACTCAAAAATAGTGTTAGCATGGTTAGAGGGCAATCCAAAGAGATGGAAGTCATTTGTGGCTGCAAGAGTGCTTAAAATAAAAAACAAAACACAAAATGCGGTGTGGCTTCATGTAAGCGGCATAGACAATCCAGCGGATTGCGCCTCAAGGGGTATATACCCAAGTGAACTTGCGACACATAAATTGTGGTGGCACGGGCCAAAATTCTTGTTACAAGACGTAGACAAAACGCCGGGAAAAGTGGATTTCGAAACGTTAATAGACACAAATCGCGAATTATCGATACTCAATGTGACAGTAAAAGAACCAAACATATTAGCTCAAGTTTCATCGTGGTTCAAATTACAAAAAATTATGGCTTATGTTGTGCGTTTCGTTGAAAATGCCAAAAAAGACAAAGTAAAAACGAAAGGTGAGCTCACGGTAAAAGAGCTAAAGCGCGCTACGGTCGTTATTTTGAAAATAGTGCAAAAGCAACATTTCAACGAAGAAATAAAGTGTTTAAAAAATAATAAAACCATAAACAAGAAAAGCAAATTGTTCAAGTTAAGTGTTTTTTTGGACAGCGACGAGTTGTTAAGAGTTGGTGGTCGTTTGAAAAACGCGAATATTCCATTTAACGCACGTCACCAAATTGTAATTCCAAAAAATGATCCAATTTCAATACTATTAATCAACGACACACACAAAATGGCATTGCACGGTGGACCGAAACTGACGGAATCAATGATGCGGCAAAATTATTGGCTTATTGACTCTAAATCGACGATTAAAAGGGAAATCAGCAAATGCATGGTGTGTGCCAGAAATTCGCCGAAAAAATTACAACAAAAAATGGGAGATTTACCTGAGTGTCGCGTTAATCAACCATTTAAAGTTTTTATGAATAGTGCAATAGACTTCGCCGGCCCATTTATGATCAAAACATCGACATTACGTGCCAGCAAAGTGCTAAAAGCATACGTGTCGGTATTTGTGTGTATGGCGTCGAAAGCAATACATTTAGAGCTTGTAAGTGATTTGACAGCCGATGCCTTTATCGCCGCCTTGCGTCGTTTCATAGCAAGAAGAGGCAGGGTGTACAACATATACTCGGATAATGCTACGAATTATGTAAAAGCTAACAGAATTTTAAAAGAACTGAGCCAGTTGGAGCAGGAAACATTTCAAAAACATGCAGATCAAGAGCTCTTGGCGAATGGAATAGAATGGCATTTTGCGCCACCAGATAGCCCACACCATAATGGGTTGGCGGAAGCTGGTGTGAAATCGATGAAATTTCATCTAAAAAGAGCGTTGGGTGACAGAGTACTCACATTTGAAGAAATGAGCACGCTATTGGGCCAAGTTGAAGCAGTGGTAAACGCAAGGCCAATATGCGAGATGAGCCAAGACCCAAATGACTTCTCAGCTCTGACACCATCGCATTTTCTAAACCTGGTTCCAATTGAATTGCCTCCAGATACTGACTACGTCGACATGAAGTCGAGCTACCTGACAAGGTGGCAGTTGGTTCAAAAAGTACACCAGAATTTTTGGAATGGGTGGAAGCGTGATTACTTGAACCAACTGCAAGTCAGGCAAAAGTGGAATACGGAAAAGGCAGACGTCAAGTTAAATGATCTTGTCATGATCAGAGACGACAATCTGCCATCCACGAAATGGGCAACTGGAAGGGTGGTTGCCACACATCCCGGTGAAGATGGTCACACAAGAGTGGCATCGGTCAAAACAGCACATAATACGTTCAAGAGAAGTATTACCAGGTTGGCACCGTTACCGCTTATGACTACGTTATTACTCATTTTTTCAACGCTATCGAAAACCAATGCGGTGTCACATTTCGGAAACGATTCACCAGCTTTCAAGATAGAAAACTTTGAGCATCGACCGGGCATGTACTTCGAAACAATTTCAAAAACGTACGTGGCAAATACATATTGGAATATCATTGCACATTTCAACATGGATGATTTCACGAACGGGCTAACAAACATTGAAGCAAATGTTGCCAAAGTGCGACAAAAATGCGTGGAGATGAATGGAACTGAATCATGCGTCAATATATACAATATGCTCTACGACAATTATATTCGGATTGCGGAAAAGAATCGACTGTTCACAGTAAGGAACCGAAGACGACGAGCCGCGTTAGACTTGTTTGGAGATATATTGGGAGATATTACCGGCGTATTGAGTTCAAAATTCAAAAATCAATACGAGAGAGATTTGAGCAGCATCCACCAAAACGAGGAGCATCTTCTCATATTGGCTAAAAATCAAACTTCCGTAACTCAGAGTATGGTCAATTTGGTACAGAAGAACGAAGTAATGGTGGTCAAACAAGAACAACGTATAAATGAAATGCTGAACCAATTGATCACTATGCAAAACGGTGGAATGGCAGCTCAACAGTTACACATGATTTCACTCATACTGGTCGACGCAATGACCAAGTACGAAAATGAACAGACAGCAATTCTGGATGTCATCACAGAGGCTCAAAAAGGGCACGTGAACACACATTTGATAGCACCAAAAGCATTGGAGCAGCAGCTGGATATTATTTTGAAAAATATTGATGAAGATCTAATAGTTCCTGGAATCAATCGAAGAACGGAAATGTATCGTTTGATGTCAGTTCAGGTGGGATATTATGGAAGAAATTTATGCTTCAAACTACATTTACCGCTATTGAACAAGAAAAAATTTCAAATGCTACGTATGGTGTCAGTACCAACAGCCAGTAATGAAAAATACATCAAAATATTGCCATCAACGGAATACATGCTTGCAGCACTGGAACGAGACGGTTATGTATTTATGAACAAAGCTGAAGTGGAGCAGTGCCAAACATACGAAGACATGCTGATCTGCGAGAACATTAAACAACTTTCAACGGAAGCCACATGTGAGTGGAATATGCTAAACAACATTCAAAGTTTGGAGAATTGTAATGTGGTAGAAACAGAAAAAAGAGCATACTTCATTGATCTATCAGTAACCAATGCTTGGATATTCGTAACACCAGTAGAATATAATGCTGCAATCATCTGCGGCGAGAAAGTGGAACACATAACACTGGAAAATGAAGGCATTCTTGATTTACAACAAGGCTGCACACTCAAACATTTTGGTGGGCAGTTATGGACCCAAAAGGAGGCCGGAGAGGGTACCATGAGCATCATTGTGCCCAAGATAAATGTTTCAATAGACTCCATGCAACACAAACCGCATTTGGTCAACTTTACGCGCACGATGCTATCCAACTTCACACAACTACAACAACAATTGGATAACATCAAGGAGCAACAAGAGCTCCCCAACAACATCGACGGTCATGATATTCATCATTATACAGCTATATATGTCATGATCGGTGTCATCATAACCTACGTAATATTGAGGAAATTGACGAAACGTAAGCCAAACAAACGGATGAGTTTGATATCAATGCCCGCAATACCGCAACCACTAGACGTCCCAGAAGAGCGCGACGTCACAGGGGGAATCACCGCCGCGGGGGAGAATGTGTAACGAACCGTACACAAAAGAATGCATACAATATAATATATATCATACAATTCAATACATACAAACAATTAATTCATTCATTCAAACATTATAATTCATGCATCAGCATAATGACCGATTTGACAAACAATTCATTCTTATTAAAACAGTTGCAATTACAAAGTAACCCAAACCTGTTGTGTTTTTATATTATTATTAATCCACAGCTCATTGGATAATAGGTAAATTAAATATATTATTCAGTATGAGACAGAAATAATCGTTTATCAAAACTGAACGAAGCTTTCACAAACGCAAATTCAAAACATCCATACGATTGATTAAAAATGTACGGGTATTTTTGTTATGATAG